TACTGGCATTTTGCAACAGGACCTTGTACCCTGGGTGTCCCTGGGCGCACAAACGGAGGACTCTGGCCTCCGGGGTTTCAGAAAGACGGACAGGGAAAGGGGAGGGAGGGGAGAGGGACAGAAGAAACAAAAGTGGGGTTGAAGAATGGAATCAACTTTTTTTTTAATAGAAAACTTTTATTTAATAAATATAAATTTTGAATGTACAACTTTTGGATTATAGCAGTTCTCCCCCTAATACCTACCCTCCCACCTACAAACCATCCCATCTCCTACTCCCTCTCCCATCCAATTATTCCTCAAGATTCATTTTTAATTATCTTTATATACATAAGATAAACTCTATACTAAGTAAAGATTTCAACAGTTTGCACCCACACAGATACTCGAAGTATAAAGTACTGTTTGAGTACTAGTTTTACCATTAATTCACATAGTACAACACATTAAAGACAGAGATCCTACATGGGAAGCAGGTGCACAACAACTCCTGTTGTTGAAACAACAATTGACACTCTTGTTTATGATGTCAGTGATCACCTGAGGCTCTTGTCATGAGCTGCCAAGGCTATGGAAGCCTCTTGAGTTCACAGACTCTGACCTTATTTAGACATGGCCACAATCAAAGTGGAAGTTCTCTCCTCCCTTCACAGAAAGGTACCTCCTTTTTTGATGGCCTCTTCTTTCCACAGGGATCTCACTCACAGAGATCTTTCATGTAGGTCATTTTTTGCCACACTGACTTGGCTTTCCATGCTTGAGATACGGCGTCAACTTTCCCAACTCAAGTTGTTAAGGAAAGTGTGTGTCCTGGGGTGGAGGTGTTTGTGACTCTCTTAGAATATCTTGGACCACTGGATTCGAGCAACAGAAGGGACGAACCAGGACTTTTTCTAGGTGAGAAAATAAACATCTGGGAGCAGGCCAGCCCCAAATTCCCACAGGGAATACAACCACACTAGAGGTAATTCTATTTCCAGTCCTCGAGGTCCATGGCCTTACTCAAAGATCTCTAAAGCCCAGGGTGCCAAGGACAACAGAAGTGGCCACAGGTGTTCCTCATGATAGCTGCCCAACAAACTCCTCCAGTGAGCTAGATGCCATTACTCACACGGCCATGACACACACTGACACCCCAAACACTCAAGTTCCCGTGTAATCACCCCTTCAAGCACAGGGTGAACCCTCACCATACCCTTAACAGGCATCCTATTAAGTAGATGACTGCTAATTAAGGCTTCACCAAAAGGCAGGAGAGAGCCCAGAAACACGGGGTTCCCTTCTTAGCTTCCACACATAAGAGTGTTGAGAGCAGACACCACCACTCAACCAGAACAAGCAATATTTAGGGCAAACCGGGCTCATAAGGGAAACTGGGAGATGTCTGGCCAATGGCCCTGCCCCTGGCTCATGCCTGCTCAATCCTTCCACCCAACAATAAGTTAACGGCAGGAAAGATAAATACTATTAAAACTGCAACTCTCCATGAGGATCTTATCAGTGCTCTGACTCTTTGCTTCTTGCATAAAATGTGTTCCAAAAAGGCTGAGAAGTAGACCCCTGACAGCATTCTGGGAAGGACACCAAGGCAATGGGGCCCTGTGGGTCTCTGACAAGGTTTCCAGTATGCAGTTGTCAGAAACAGGTGACTCAGAAGAGGCCAATCCTGATGCTCCTCACTGCCATGCACCAGCTCCTCAAAGGTTATGTCTGAGAGGCTGAGACTCAGCTTCACCATGGAGCAGGGCCATCTAAGGCCATATCTGCCCATTTCTATAGACTGTTGCTGTAGGAAACCTGCACCGTGAACCACCCATCATGGGGAGAGGGGGTCCCCAGCAGAGAGACTGAAATTCATCAGTAGGCTCCTACGACACAGCTATCAAACACAGGCTCCTACACTGTATATTTTGACTTCATTATCAACTCTCACAGCAGTCCTGAAAGGTCAGAATAATCACCTTGATTTGACAGAGAATTAGAGAGAGGCTGACACTACTTCTCTAAACTGGGATTCAAATCAGATGAGCATGACTCCAAGACTGAGTTAGAGAGGAGCGCTGAGATTGACACATCCCTCCACAGCCTTGAGATGTTTGCAGCTGAGCTGCAAAGTGATTTCTCCAAAGACAGATGCAAGTTCAAGACCAGCCTGTGTAACAGACCGTGCTGTACAGAGGGAAATTATTTACAGTCTGTGCTGTCCAATCATGGTCACCACTAGCCACAGGCAGCTGTTGGGTATTTGACCTGTGGGTAGTCCAATTAAGTATCTGAATTTTTAATTTTTTATGGATTTATTTCTGTATATATATATACACAGAGATATATATTTCTGTATATAATATATATATTATTTCTGTATTTGAAAGGCAGAGGGTGGGATAGAGAGAGACAGAGAGACAGAGAGAGACAGGGAGAGAGGAGAGATCTTCCAACCCCTGGTTCACTTCACAAATGGCCACACTGGCTGGGGCTGGGTCAAGCCAAAGCCAAGAGCCTGGAACTCCATCCAAGTCTCCCACATGGGCGGCAGGGGCCCAAAGACTTGTGATATCTTTCATTGCTTTTCCAGGGTGCATTAGCGGCAGCTGGAATCAAAAGTGGAGCAGCTGGGACTCAAACTGGCAGGCATTGTAGGTGGAGGTTTAATCCACTGTGCCATGATGCTGGCCCTACAATTTAATTTATTTTGAATTTACTTTGATTCATCATTGATTGCTCATATTGGACAGCACAATTAGAGACCTTTTAAACCAACAACATTCAAAAAAGGGAATGGCCCTAGCAGTCTGGGGTGGTCTCAGCAAGGAGTCATGAAGGAAACAGGCTCTGATCCAGCCCCTGCTGTGTTAGGACTTGAATGGGACTCTTTCTGTTGCAGGCAGGATCCTCTTCCCTACAGAACTTGGTTCAGAGTCAAGAATCCTGGAAGTCAAGCCTTTAGCCTCCAGGTGGGGACATCAAGGGCATGTCCTGGTTCCATGTCCTTTCTGGGCCTGTTCCACACAGTCTGTCCGAGCTCTTTTACTTTCTCCCACTTCACTCGTGGAACCTCTCTCCTCCCTCCTCGGTCCGTCTCTGCCAACCCCAGCAGGCACCTGGTTTGTGTTCATCTTTGCTATTTGTGAAGCTGACTCATTTCCTCTTTTGGAATGACTTTCAATACACTGGATGTTTCTACATCTGTCACTCTGCAAAAAGCATTTCCTAATACAGCAAGCAAAGAGCCACTCACAGAGACCACTCCCTTTCCCCCCAAAACACAACCCTAACAACAGGGAACAGAAGCCCTCCATCCCCACAAACACATGACCAAATCCAACACATTTCTGATCCATTCTTTCCATACCGAAGTGACAACTGGGCTTACTAATACTGTATTTCCTGCCTTGTAGCATCCCAGTCACCATCAACCTATTTGTTGAAGGAAAGATGTTGACTACAAGACCAGATCAACCAGCTGGGCTCATGGTGCAGAGCTTCGGCCATCCCTGTGATGCCTCTTCTGATAACACACATGGCTCTGCTGCCACAGCTCAGGTAATGGAACCCTTCGTGGCCACTTGCATTTCTGGCTACTAGAGCTGGCCATGTGCTCTCCTCACCTTCAAGGATGGGAGTGCTGAACTAACTGCTATAGTAGCCTCTAAGTCCTCCAGCTTGAGGAACAGAGATTTTGTAGTGAGTTTTGGAGGGGTGAGGGAAGTCTATTTTAATTCCAGAAAAACTTGGCTTGGGAGCTGATTGTTAAAGACCCTAGGTATGGTGGGGAAGGGCCCTTCTGGTCACCTTCCCCCAAAAAGAGGAGACATACAACTTCCTACATTCCTGAACTCAGATGTCTGTGGTTCTTTGCAACAAGGGCTGTTTACGTTCTTTATGACGACCCTGGGACAGGTCTGTGTGTGTGGGATCAACACATCCCTGAGCTCCCGAGTGCCTGAAGGGGGCACAAACGAGATCCAGATCCCCACGAGACAAGTAAGGGCAACTCCAGAGAGCTGTGGTATCTGCACCAGGGCAGCAGATGTGGCCGCAGACCTAGCACATCCCACACCCAGTGTTGGTACAGCTCATGAGCCAACAATGGATTCACAATTTTGAAAGCACTGTAAGAGTTTTTTAAAGGAATATATTATAGACACTGACACCACATGAGGGAACTTCAAAAAAGTTCATGACAATGGAATTAATAGTTGGGTACAAAAATAATTAGAAACCTGTGCATACTTGTTTGTAATAATATGCAGTTTCCATGAAATCTTGGAAGACCCCTTATATGTGACCTGCAAACCCTAACATATTTACTGCCTGGCCCTTTCCAGGTCACAGGTACCGACTCCTGCTCCAACCCTTGGGGACCTCATCACTGTGGAGGGGAACTCGCCATCTCCCTGGGATGTGAGGACCTTTGGGTTTGTCCTATTTATCAGTTCAGTAATTTGAGAGGTACAATATGGCCCATCTTTCTGAGGAGAAGCCCAGTAACAAAGACATCAACTGACAGACGAAATTCCCTTCTTCCAGGAACAGCAGTCATCATTGTGAGGACTTGCCCAACCCTGTGCATCCACTGTTGACAGAAACAAGGCTCCAGACAAGCAACTGGCCATGGAGGACCTCCACAGGGCCACCAAACATCCACACCCTGACTCAGCGTCCTCCTGCCTCAGTTTCTCCCTGGCCAGCCTAGCACCAGCCTCCATGCTTGACGTGGGTCCCAAATCAGAAGAATCACTGACTTTGACTTACCTCTTCTCAACTAGGAAAGGAATATAGAGGTAGAAACACACCGTGATGATCTTTTGGCATCTCACCTTCAGTTTTCACAGACACCTGCCCTAGATGTTCTTAAGGGCTCATGAGATCAGAACTCAAACAAACAAACAACAACCACAACCAAAAAAAAAAAAAAAAAACACCATAGCATTTGGCTCTTCCACGGCCATAACCAAAGAAAAAGGCAGCAGGTGCCCAGGGTGCAGCTGCCACGTTACCTGGCTCAGTGCAGTTCTTGCTGCTCCGGAGTCCTGCATCTTCGAAAGTAAGAGTGTCGTTCACCTGCATTAGTTTCCTCCCCACCATCCACTTTCTGTCTTCCCCGATGAGGTCCATGAGGTCAAGTTCTGGGGAGAAAAAGAAGATAACCACAGGTTACCAGCAGCTGGGTTTCAGCCGTTACTAACACTGGGTGCCAGTGCCTTCACCAGGGAACATCCTTCCGTCCTGCGTAGGGTGAGGCCACCTGCCTCTCACTGCCTGAAGTCTGCTTCTGATGGCTGGACACGACTGCACCCAACAGAGGCAGCCCTAAGCCAATGACAGGCAGAAACTGGTGTATACGCACCTCAGCACTTGTGTGGGATGACTTTGAGATGTGTATTCTCCACTAGATTCCAGAGCTTTCTCCAGGGGCATTAGGCTTCAGTTGTCTACAGCAGAAGTCTCTTGACAAAGCACACTGTGTTACTTCCGGTCCCTTCCCTGTCTCTGTTCCCTGCTCCCAATGACATGTGTATGTAGGAAATGCTTCACAACCAACTCCCTAGGTACTGGCAATTTCCCTGGTGTCAATACTCCCTAGGTGTCCAACCAAGCTATCAACATGATGCCACTGATAATACAGTTGGAAAGACATGGGCAAATCAGCTCCACTAAGCCAGATGAGCTGGCTCCAGCTCACCAACATCAACCCCAACCAGCGTTTCCTTGAACCACCTCCCAAACCAACTGCTTGCATTTGAACACTCGCTCTGGGAGATCCCCAAGCAAAGGCACGATCTCACCAGCCACAAATCACAAGGCAGTGAGGTCAACACAGTGCATTTAACATACAAGAAATGAGGTCACAAACTAGGACAATGCATGTTAGCGGGGTGAGCATTTCACAGTGCCCAGGACTCTGGGTGACAGTGGGTCTGGAAGTGCCAGGAGAAAGAACAGAGACTGAAGAACACACCAGGGAGGGTAGAGGGTGCTGTTCACTGTTTAGGATGCGTTAAATTCAGAGGGCCTGCAGAGCATCCAAATGGAGTTGTGCTGTCCATGTTAGTATTGAGTGGGGACCTGTCAGGGGAGACAGCAATCCTACAGAGTGTCAGGACAGACATTAACAAGCAGGGAAGGGCATGTGACAGATGTATGGGTGGCATCACCTAGAAGAGGAGGTGGAGACTAAAGAGAATGGAAGAAAAAAAAAAAGCTTGGGGAACCCAAGACCCCTCCAGAGAACAAGCAGAGTAAATGAAATTGGCAAAGGAGCAAGACAGGAAATAAAAAAAAAAACAAGGGCATCTGGTGTCATAGAAGGTTAAGCAGGAAGACAATTTCAAGAAAAAACAATCCACAGTCTGACCCCCGTGGACAAATCTGGTAAGACAAAAGGCAGAGAACTGATAGTGCCTGGGGCCACGGGCTCCCTGGGAGATGAGAGAGCAAGCCAAGATGACTCCATTTAGGGGCCTGGCATAGGCGATGACTACCTCTTGAGTGTCCAGGGTGGCTACCATCAGGTTATAGGCCTTAGAATAAGACAAGAGCCAAATTCATGGGGCCAGTGGTACTCCAGGGTGTACCCAGCCACAGGCACATGCTGTCTGCAAAGGCCAGTGAGGGGCCAAAGGTCATGACATGCACTCCTCTATTTTGGTGGTTGATGTGTGGTTTCTCAAATGATTTCTCCTTCACTGCCAAATCTGACCCTCATGACACCACTCAGGAAAGAGAGGAAGAGCGTGGCCATTGCTTCCCGCAACACCGACCACTGCTACCTTGGAAGGGGTGCTCAGGAGGCATTTTGAAAACATCGTTCCCATTTGATACATAGAGTGAGACTCATGGGAGTTTCTGGAAATCATGATGCCTGTGGACGTCTTCTCCAAGCAACTGAGACATGCCTAGTGTGTGCAGAGCACGCACCAAGGTCTCCCTCAAATGTAGCCCCTGCTCCTAGATGTAAAATTATCAAGATGCAGAATGGCAATTTGTGGATAATGGCCAGAAAGAACCTCTTTTACAAAAAACCCCCAGAACCATAGAATGTGGAGCCCAACCAGAATAAACAACTTTAGACTCTGAAATACAGACACCTCTATGGCAGCCAATGTCTCTGTACAGCCAAACTGTCAGAATATTACCAAAGATAATTCCAAGTGAAAGCAACATTCTGGTTAATCTGGGTGGTTGCTTCTTATGATTAAAAGTGGTGACAAGCAACAGGAAAAATTTTCAAGAATTCTTGAAATAAAACAGTAAGATCAGCGGCCTTTAACTCCCACAAACAGTCCTAAAATGTGAGTGTAACACTCTATTATCATAAATGATCCAAAAGGGTACAGAAGGCATCCTCTTTGCCCCAGGTTGGATATCCCAGTTGCAACCCCTCAGAGGAGGACTTGGGCAGGCGGCTTCAGGGGAAGGCAATCCCAGGAAGAATCAGCAGAACAATGGTGAGGTGAGACAGGGAAGAGGAGCCAGCAAACAGAGCACGCGTCTCAGGCCAGCAGCCAGAATGATTCACTGGGGGCTTGACCGCTCTGGAGAGCTCAAGGAGCCAGTGTAGACCTGCATCTCAGACACTCAAGGCATGAGTGTCAGGGAGCCAGTGTAGACACACATCTCAGACACCCACGGGATGAGGAGCCATGGGGATTTATGCGGTTTCTCTTGGTTGGCCACTAGCTGAAGGCTCGATGTTCCCAGGGCCCTTCATTCATCAGCATGTCCAACCCGCCATGTGAGTGTCCAAGGTGGACTCTGGCGCCCAGAGAAAGGTCTCAGACAATGAGATGCAGGTAGCAGAAGGTGCACAATTCCAGTGTGTACTGAAGAGGCTGGATCAACGTGACATCGGCAGAGCACAGTGGCGTGTGCCAGGCTGCATGGAATCTACAGAGTCGTAAGGAGCCCAGCAGATCAGCCATTCTTCCCTTCTTGTGACCTGGGTTGGAGAACGGCCCTGGCAGTACAGCAGTACTAAGGTTCAGGAAGACCCTAAAGATTTGCAAAGAAGAAAGAGAATCTCCTCCAGTGACTTCCAACATTCGTTCTTATGCCAAGTTTCCACGGTTCTGTAATTCTAAGAGAAAAGCTGATACCAATTAAGAGATGTAAAAATAAAGCCAACTATCCTAGCAGAAAATTAGAGGATTTTTTTTAAAACATAATGATTCAATATCTTCAGGAATCAGAGATTATTAAGACAGCACCTCCAGATTCCAAAACCTACAAACTTTTATCTCAACAAAAATATACTTGACCAGTGCCCTCTGGTCAAACAGCACAGAGACCAGAGTCTGGCAAAATGAAAATGAGGAAAGCAATGCAGACAACATTCTACTCTGGTTCCCTTGTCCCCACAAAACTCCTGGTGAGGCAGGAGAGCATTTGGGTCTGGCGAGGGTCAACTCACCTTTGGAGTAAACAAGCGAGAGCAGAAGTGACCAGCTCAGCCTAAGGTCAGAGCCACTCCACAGCCAAGTCACCCCCCTCCCCCCATTTAGTTATCTTGCCTGCCCTATCCCAAGAGTCTACTGCATGCGAAGAACTTTGCGATTTTCACCATGTCGGAGCCTCACAACATAGAAATACCAGCTGTATGTCGCAAATAAGGAAACTGGAATGCACACAAATTAAATCACTTTCCCACGATCACACAGCAAGCAGGTGGCAGGATGGAGATCTGAACCCAGATCTTGTGACCCCAAGTTCTTGGTAGATCCTTAGGATGAGATCCATCCCGGTGGCATTACACAGCCACACAGGGTAGATCAGTAATGCAGCCTTGCACCTTATAATAGGTTAGAGGTCAACACTGTCTCACTTGGACCTATTTCAAGGATGGCTGTTTCCCCCAGAAACTACTAGAAAGAGCAGTGAAGTATGAGTATCACCCCATGGAAGCACCACCAACTAAAGAGTAAGATGGTTCTGAAACCCCACCCTGCACTACGCATAGCTCTGTGCTCCGTGTTAATTCCCTAGAGACAAAGCTCGTCCCATTGCCCGTGACCCAGATGGTTGGTTACATCAGAGTACCTAAAAAAGTTCATGGAAAAAGGAATTAAAAGATAACCTCATTCTGGTACAAAAATGCAGGAAACCCAAGCCTACTTTTTTTTTTTTTTCAGAAAATGCATTTTCTATGAAGTTTTTGAAGATCCTCATACTGTTACATTTTGGGAAACAGGAAAGAGGATGGGCGAGGAGAAAGCCCAGGTGCAGAGGGTAAGGGGCCGAAGAACACATGGACAGGGGTCCACCGCTGTCAGTGCTGTCTCTTCGCTCCCCTCCCCAGCTTCCTCGGGCTGCTCCGCTACTGCAGAGAGGCCGCTCTGCAAAGCTACACTTGAGCAATGTCAACAAAAACACTTGGCCCTTGTCCACGGCATTCTTGGCTCCTCGTCTGCCAGGCCCTGGAAGTTGTATGTTGGCCTAATTAGTCAGGGAAAGCAGTCATGGGGAGACGAGGAGTGGGGGTGATGGTGAAGATGGGAGACAGAAGGCTCCCGCGTCCCATGTCACTGGTAGAGGTGGCCCCTCTGACTGCAGGCTCTGAGACCAGGGGACAGGAAGGCACAGGGCACACGGGGCAGGCAGCTGCTAGCAGGGGAAGAAGCCCACTTCTCACGCCAAGACTCAAACTGCACGGGCTGAAGAAGGGAAGAGAGCAGGGGCTACAAGCCAAGTTTCCATTACAGAGCTGAGCTCAGCCTCTCCTGCTCCACCAAGCTCTCACCCTCCTCCCTGTTCATTCTCACCCCCTACTTCCTCCTCCTCCTCCAGACTGGGGCTTGCGGAGCCCAGGGCTTTCTGGTACCATCAAAGGGTCTTCCTGGGTGCCATGACACACAGACACAGCTCCCAGCCCTCACCCTGAGGCTAACACAGTCTCCCACGTGCAGCCCTGTCCTGCGGGGCTCCCAGCCCTTGCCAAGTCCTGTCCCAGATCCTGCAGGGAGGTAGGGCTGTCTACCCTCTGGTGGAAGGGATTAACTCCTCCACAGCCCTGGATAGATGGGCAGGAGAGGAAGAAGTCAGCTCAATCAGCAGCAGAAGCATTTTTTTATTATTTTATTTATTTATTTGAGAGGCAGAGTTACAGAGAGAGAGAGAGACAGACAGACAG